AATAATAATAATAATAATAATAATAATAATAATAACAATAATAATAATAATAATAATAACAATAATAATAATGATAATAAATAATAATTAATGATAATAATAATAATGATAATAATAATAGTAATAATAATAAAAATCGAAGTAATAATAATAATGATAATAATAACCGCAATAATTGCGGTAATAATAATAAAACAGAACACTACTATTAATATATTAATGAAAGACTAGAAAAATAATGTCAACCAAGTATTAAGCGTCTAAAAAAAATAAAAACTGTTTTTGCTACTTTCCTTTATCTTCTCATCTAATTTACAGTGATCAAAAACAAGGCGGGAATGGAATGAAATGCAGGAGAGGTGCAAGAAATGTGTAAGTTAGGTGTAAGTTGTGAAACTTTTCAATATGTAGAGCTTTCTGAAGGTAAAAAAAGAAAAATAAAGTAACCTAATTTAGAAAATATAATTGATTTTCGTTTCCTTTTTCCTTTTTCTTTCTTTTTTTTTTCGCAAAGAAACTATAAATTATAGCTTGGTAAAAGTAAAAGGAAAATTTTAATTTCCACAAAGATATTTTACAACAATTTATATTATCTATTTTTATTTCATCCTAATCATTTTCCATTTTATTGAATGGAGAGGAAAAAAAAAAGGGGAAATAAATAAATAGATTAAAACAAAAGGAACGAAGAACATCCTGTATTATCATTTAATCCGTAGAAAAGATCAAATTTTGAAAAATTTATCAAACAGTATGACAACTCGTTGTATGAAAGAAAAAGCTCAACCAATAATGTAATAAATTACATAAATTATCAATTTAAAAACTTTTTTTTTTGTTCTTTTATAACCACAATTATACAATATAATGAATTGAAAAGAATTATCAATTCTGTCGAATAATGTAAGACTAAAATAAATTCTGTACAAAATATTCCATCAAAAGAAAATTGAAATTCAAGAGAAAAATATACAAAAAGAAAGAACCCATTTTTTTTAAAAATCTCTTATGTGAAAAAGAAAACACATAGTCGTCCGTAACATCCATGATAATATACCAGTTTGATGGGAAAATTCATTCAAGTATCGTATTAACTGAATGAATCGTTGACTGATTGATTCACTGATTGGTCAACTAATCGAATTGATCGATTGATAGCAAATCATATCATCACAATATTTCAAGAGAATCAACCAGTAAAATATTTACGAAAAAGAAGATAGAGTGAAAAAAAATAAATAAATAAACGGATGTCATTGTTATTTTTCTTCCTCTTCCTTGGTTATAACTCGAAAAAGATTTTCATTTCAAACTTTTTTTTTGTTTCCTTCTTTTTCTCTCCATCCCTTCTTTTTCTCTCACTTCTACTATTAAAATTATTCGCTAAAAGTCAGCAAATTCTTTTGCACATTTTTCGGTATTTGAAATCCGTAGTGGTTCTTCTTCATAGTCATCAAAATTAGATGCATCACCAGCACCACGACATTTAGGTAAAAATGGCGCATCGATCTAAAAAATTATGCATAAAAAAGTTTATCCATTAGAAATTGAAAAAAAAAAAGATTATTTGACCAACTCATTTTGATGATAATCTTATCATTTTAGTTGCATAATTTTAAATAGATTTATCAAATAATTTAGAAAAATTTGTAAATCATATTCTGCACATATCTCTCGTATATACGAAGTATTTCATACACATTTTTTTTTCGATAAAATAATTTTAATCAATGGGTATAATGTTTGAAATAATCATTTAACCTTATAATTTCATCATATGTGGTGTATTTTTTTGTCTCAAGATATCGAACTTATTAAATGCATAATTTAAAATTTAACCTTTCTTTGGTAAACAGCAATCCAGTCTGTTGAACTAAACCATTTATGGTTTTTAATATCCGCAACACCATTTTTCAAGTTACCATATCTCTTTGTCAAATCAACTTGTAATAAATTCTTCAATAAATCTTTGAGTTCGTTCGAAAAATATGATGGAAATTTCACCTAAATCATAGATTCTTCTATTTTTCTTTAGAAAATAAAAAAAAAATTACTTATTTTTTCGTTTTTATTTATCGACGAAATAGATTATTATTTTCCAAAGATTGCATGCAAACATTGTTTATTCCTAACAATATTGATTTTTTTTTAAAAAAAAATGATTAACACGCGACAGTTTCAAGATATATATATTGTCCCCCATAACTTATTTCCCCTTAAAAACCTGATGATATTATCTATTTCAGAATAAACCAGTATCGAATAGTACTGATGCTCTTTTTTTTCTGTCTTTTGAAACTGAAATGAATGTAATAACTGCTGCTAAATAAGTGAACATAAGATTAAAATATTCAAGTCATGAATAATTAAGTGAAAAAAATGGGTGAATGGAGTCTTATCTAATTTTTCGCATATATTTGAATGTCTCTCTATTACCAGAAGTTTCTCATGAAAATAATCGTAAAATTACTTTTCCAGAAACAATTTTTTCATAAATTTGTATCGGTTGGTCAGCAAAAAATGGCGGATAACCAGCAGCCATTTCATAAATGAGCACACCTAATGCCCACCAATCTACTGCTTTATTGTAACCCTGAAAATTATTAAATTATATCCCAGAATTCTCGGAAATAGCCATTAATCTTTTATTTATTTATTTGTATTTCAAAGAATATTATTCAAATTTCTAGCTCAAATTCATACTTCCTTCCGGGTCAACAGTCTTTCTGCCTAAAACATTACTATAATTTTCATTGATAGAAATTACAAAAAAAAATTGAAAATTTAAAAGCAAATTTGAAAGTTTTTGAATAAAAAGATCACTTTGCTCAATATAATTTCTGGTGCAAGATATTCCGGTGTTCCGCATAAAGTCCAAGTTCGTCCTTTCACACGTTTTGCAAAACCAAAATCGGTTATCTATAAAAGAAAAGGAATAAAAAATTGTATTTTGTTATGAATTATAAATATTGCTGAAATGTAAGCAAAAAAATAATTTAACAAAAGCGAAAACTTCAATTTTTTTTTTCAAATTAATAAAAATCAAAAAAAAAATCGTAGTTACTGCTTATTCATAATCATTATTGAAAATTTGTTTCCCAAATCATAATTTCCATCTTTCTAAAATATTTTTACAGCACTACTAAAAAAAATGAAAACTACCAACCACAATTTCAGAACAATTTTTCTTACCAACTTGTCAAGTTTATTTCAGTTATTTAATTCTAACCAAGTTTTTATTTAAAATAAATAAAGTTTGCAGGTTACTTGCAAACTTTATTCGTAAAACAGTAATATAGTAATATATATTACCAAAGCATTTCGAATTATTTTCTAACCATTATTTAAATAAAATAATATTTTCTTGAGAATCATCAAAGTAATATTGTTAATATTTGGCATTATTGTATGTTTCCATTAATTCATTCCATCACTATATATATTAGTTGTAGCAATATCAAACCTTGATATAGCCTGTATTATCAATAAGGAGATTCTCAGGTTTGAGATCTCGATAAATGAGGTCGAGGGAATGAAGATACTCGAATGCAAGTACAATTTGTGCTGCATAAAAGCGGGAATGCGGTTCACTGAAACGACCAATTCGCCGTAAATGTGAAAACATTTCACCACCACCAATAAATTCGAGCACCATATACAAATTTGAATTATCCTAAAAAAATTAATTTTTTTCCAATCTATAAATTACTATAATATTATTTATTATATATCAAGAAGATTTATTCTAAAATTGAAATTTTCCAAATTTAAACAATCGAAAAGAATGGAAACAAAAGGCTTCCATTATTTTCATTTTCATAATAATACTTTATAAAAAATTAAAAGCTCTAAGAAAAATTTCTGTTCCATCTTCCAACAAATTTTGTATAATGTTAAGAATATCTTCAGAATTCAGTATTTTTTTTATTAGTAGTTTTTTATTTTTTATTAACAGTCAATAGATATTAACAATTTAATATCTCTTATTGTTATCACAATTATTAATGTTTTACTTATTGATAACGCACAATTATTTAACAATTGAATATGATAAAATATAAAAATATTTCAAAAACTGCATTTTTTTTGGCTTTTCTTTTCAAATAAAATCTTATCATAAAAAAAGAAAAAACCAAATCATATAATTTCTTTTGGGAAAAAAACTTTTTTCTTTTTTTTCTCAAAAAAAAACATACTTTAAAAGAATATTCCATATTGACTAGAAATGGGAAGTCAACTGCCTGAAGTATACGTTTCTCATTAAGCGTATGCTCAACTTGTTTCAATTTTACCACTTTTTGTTTATCCAAAATTTTCATCGCATAATATGACCCGCTCTCTTTATGTCTTACCAACATTACACGTCCAAATGAACCGGTACCAAGTGTTTTTACCCGATCGAAATCATCTAACTGTGCCGTATTCTGGAAAAAAAAAAGTGAAATAAATAAATATATAAACATAAATATAAATAAACAAAAATATTAATACATGGGAAAAAAAACACGAATATTGTATATTTGTAAAATTTATTTGAGGAAAAAAATTGAGAAAAAACTGACTAATAATCAATATGAGAACTAATATATAGTTGTCTAATTATTCAGAACAAAACCAATCGCATTTCCTGTTCATTCGTATATCGGATTTAGACAAATATATGCAACTTTATTATAATTTGAATAAACAATATTGAATTGTTGATCTAGATCTTAATTTTAATTACAGTGACTCAATAATTCCAATAATTTATTAATGGATAAGCTATCCGTTAATTAGATTAATATCAAATTTTTTAGAATTTTATGATTTTTATCAGCTAGCATAGGAAACAACTATCGTCTTACATTTATCCCTATACTTTTCATTAATTAACTGTTCCAATTAATTTGTTAACATTGTATGATGATTCTTCAATGGGATTTAATTTATGTAAAACTTTCAACAATAAATGCTGTTGGCAGAAAACATAAAAAATGACAATAGTTTTCAAAATTTTTGAAATGCAAATTGATGAAATTTTTGAGCTTAATTCTTGCTTTACATTTATTATTGCTCCATAACCCAAGCTAACACATAAATTATCATTTTATTGCTCCAAAACTCTAACATAATTCCAATGGAAAATAGAATGTGAGCGCAATTTGTGCTACGAGCTTTTCCGCTAAAATAAAATAATACTAGAAAGAAAAGTGGAAATATACATAACATTTCGACTTTATTCAATTTTAAATTCGCAAATTAGCACCATTTTCATCCAAAACGATAAAAGTACAAACATCCATCAAAGGCTAACAAAATCAAGTCGGTGAAAGGCAATACGCACAATGAAAGGACAAAATTTCTTCGCAGTTTTAGTTCAATGGTTGAAATTTTAAAACGAAAATATTTTCATGAAATTTCAACCAAAACAAAAAATGAAAATAGAAACGTCGTCTATTTCGTATATCAAGTAAACCATTGGAACATATACATATATATATATATATATATATATATATATATATATATATATATATATATATATTATATATATATATATATATATATAT